CGTGCATGGTACTGCTCCACGCCAGGAGTGACAGCAGCTACCTGAAAATTTTGGAATTTGTGATTTGTCAAAAACGAACGAAAGGACTACTTACCTCTGCTTTAGCCAGGTCCTTATTAGTGGGAATAACTTCGGTACCACTGAAGCGATTGAAGTCTAGCGCAGATTCGTTCGCGCCAAAGTTTAGCGCTACGATGTAGGCCTAAAAATCGCAGACGTAAATTTTTACTCGAAAGTTAAATTCAATGAACGGCTTACATTTCCAGTAGCGGTTCCATTGCCAGATTTTACATATCGCGAATAGACAATCGTATCATCAACCACTTCATCTTTTACGGTCCCACCAAGAATGAGCGCGTCATCACGTTGTCGCATTTTTGCAAGTTTTTGGTATAGTTTCAAAGCTGAATTCTCTTGAGCATATTGCGTCTGAAAAAATAGCTTAATTAGCTCGGTAATCATCGAAAAAAAATTCTACCCTACCTCAAAATTATCCTCGTCTTTTTCGTCCTCGCTCTCGGCAAAGAATAATTTTCCAATGTTGGCCTCTGTGGAAGAAAGGAAACCATGATGGTCTTTGCCAGCTGGGGTCCATTGCATGATTCCGCGAGGGCTCGGAGGTGTTCCCACATCTTTTAGGCCCAATTCTTGACCATAGTAAAGTGACAGTGCCCCGGGTAGGGTAAGCTGAAGGTATACACTAGGTTATTCCTCCAGATGAAAAAGAATGGTCCAAACCTGCATGAAATTTAGAAGATTCGCCGTATCGGGGTCGAATCGAGAAGCAAGTCGGCTGTTGTCAGCATTTGAAAATTGCCAGTATGGTATTAACGAGTCAGCCTGAGAAAGAATTTAGAATTTTTTGGAAATTATCAATATTTACCCTAACACCTACCTGATGTCTTGCATCCGATGCGGATAAAGCACTATGAGCACAAGCAGCCACTCCATTTGTGCATTTTTCCGAGGAAAGTCTGGCAAACGAATCGTCTACGACATAGTGTAAATCTCCAGTTTCTCTAGCTTTTGCATGAATTTCTCCAATATCGCGATGCGAAGAGGACAGTACTCTGAAAATGGGCAAATCAAGAGAAGCCAAGCAATGTCAAAAAAAATTCCACTACATTTTTTTCTCCTTGAGATCGTCGTTGCTTTCGATGAAGTTTTTGATCGCAGAAGTCAGATCTTTGAGGGCCGCCAAAGCTGTGTCGTGCTAAA